AATTTGGGGGGGGGGGGGGGGCGAAGGGGTTGCGGTATTTTTATAAGTAAATTCCGTGACTTTTGTCCCGTCATGAAATTCCACTGCTTACATTCCAGCACACTTATGGGATCTCGAAATGACTTTTTCTCTTCCTTATGGAATTGGTTGACGTTATATATTAGAAAAAAAAATACATATATGTATATATAAATATAAGGTATATATGCATATATAATGAGCGAGGCTTCAACCCACGATTCGTATATTCCAAAATGTCAAAATCAGTCGCGTTAAATGGGACACCCGGTACCTTGTCTATATGCAAAGTGGATAGAAATTTTACTGGAATCTCGATCGAGCACATATCAATCCTTACGTCACGACTGTCGCGCATTAGTGCAACCTTAACGACCTTGCTCGTTAGCCCAGGAACTGTAGACGCTGGAAATTCCTGAGGTTTGGCAAAGGTTTGGAACGCGAGAGTTTATCCCTGTAGAGGGATAGAAAATAAGAAGAGAGGAAGGAGGAAAAAGAGGGAAAAAAAAGTAAGGTAGGTTCGAAAAAAAAAAAAAAAAAAAAAAAAAAAAAAAAAAAAAAAAAAAAAAAAAAAAAAAAAAATTTCCTTTAGGAATGTGAAAAATTCTTAACTCAAAATTCTCCACCCCAACCTTCATCCCTTTTCGAATGCTCGATTAACTAGAACGGTAATTATTCTTAATCAAGTGTCTTTTGTCTTAATTATTATTTTTTTTTCTTATCGCTCATCTCTCTCAGGCAGTATCTTTCGTCCGGGCAGATACTCGAAAACAATTTCAATTACCGTAAAGCATCCATGAATCCCTTTAATCTTGATTCCCGTCCGAATTCCTCTCGATATTACGTGTCTGGTATTCCCAAGCCTTTGATCTTGCGATTCCGTACTAATCCTTGATTGCGGTCTTTTTCCGCATCAATGGGAAAGTGTCAGCTACTGCCAGGCGTCACGACGCTCCTCTCTTGTATTCGGAGCACACAGCGACGTCTGTGTCCGCAACGGGGTCTGACCATAATTCCGCACCGGCGAAAGGGTCGAATGGGACTCGTAAATATTACAGGCTGGAATTGGTAAATGAAGGTGGGCTAGGGCCGTGCGGAGTGAAAGAAAAGAAAAATTTAAGTGAAAGATCGATCCGTTCGACACAAAGAATCGTACGAGAGCTCCGAGCAAAGTATTCCGACCGAGTGGAGACGATCAAGAAAGAGACTCCGAGACAAAGCGACTTCTGTCGCAGTCGAGATTCTTTTCTTGCGAAAGACATGCTCTCCGACCACAAAAGGTCGGATCGCTAACAATTTCAAGCTTTCGAGCTTATCGAATCTTCTCACGAGAATTCCCCCGTATCTACGGGGAAAAACGTTGCCGGATTCGCGGAAACACTTGTCCATGATCGGTGTGGACCAGTCTGAAGTTTGAAGACCCCTTTCAATAATCTCATCTTCCTTCCGGTGTTACGGTGAGATGCTGCGATAAGGGTGGATAAATGTCGGCCATTTTTCCTTTTTTTTTTTTTTTTCTTGATAGACACATTTTTTTATACCACTTTTTTTATTCTTATATTTCAACGTAACGTCAACTTCCGGTGGACTAAAAACGTGGTACCCAAAAACGAAAGACCGGGTAGCGTATGTATATATATATATATCGTAGGGAACGTGTACATTATTGCGAACATTCTCTGCACGCCTGTGGTCGTGAAAATTTAATTAAAACGCCACCTTCGTATATACAAGCATCGGGTATTTTCGCAAGGAACTCGAAGACGTAGCGTTGCGCGTTAGTGTCTTAAATGTTCGTTGATGTCGAGGGTGATAATAAATAGCGAAGTCGAAGAAGATTAAAAGGTAGGAAGAAACTGGCTTTAGTAAACTGCCATGGCTTAGTGCTTGAGAGACGGGTGGTTGAGATTTTACATTTTACTTGGTAAAAATTTCTTATACGACTTATGGATATGGATAACGTAGGACGTGGAGAGAAGGGAAGTAATTTTTTGAAAAAAAAAACATTTTTTTTGAGTAACCGTCTAAAGGTGTGAAATGTGTAATGACGCGACAGAATATTATTGATTCAGTGCACAGATCCGATATGGAAGGTAGAAATAAATAGGAAGTGAAAATGATAAGAGAGTGGAGAGGTTAGAAGGGCAATCCTCTTCTTCTTCTTCTTTTTTTCTTCCTCTTCTTGAAGTAAAAGTTTCAGGAACAGCCTATAGCCGCCGTTGCCCTGTCTTACCAAATTCCCGGAGGGATCGACAGGGCCTATAAATATGTATGGTGCACCAGCCATTTTCCAGGAAAGAGCCATTGAATGCCAAACGACTAAGTGAGTGGGTAGAAGAGAGAGAGAGAGAGAGAGAGAGAGAGAGAGAGAGAGAGAGAGAGAGAGAGAGAAGAGGTAAAATGCTAAGTAAGGACGCCATAATTATCCGCCTGTGGCGCCTCCTACCGTCGAACTGCATAACTAAAAGTACGTAAAACCATCGAGCATCTTTTTTTCAATTATCCTATTGACAACTGAACTGCCCTTCTTTATCTCTATTATTTTCTTACTTCTCTTGTCGCCTCCCTTTCTCTCTTATCCGATACCTTTCACAAGTTGCGTTAACTTTCCACAAAGTCCAAGTGCCTCTTAAGAAAACATCTTCGGACCCAGGCTCGATCTGGACCAATTCGAAGTGAACGTTACAGCTATATAAGATAGCAGGCAGGGAAGTGTCGCCAACGTGAAGGAACTTTACTCGAGGAAGAAACTTCCTATGGGAACAGGATATCAAGTAGGTCGATACCCAGAGTCCAGGATATTCCTAGCGAGATATTCCAGTCCCAGTGGTTTTATACGTCTGAAAAACATATAATGGGCTGACAATCGAAAACGATATAAAAATTTGATATACGGAAGTTTTTACTTTCTTCTTTAAACTTCAATTTCATCTTCTTTCAGCGTTGAGCCTGCTCTGCGTGCGGACATTTTCTGGAAGCTCCGCGATGCTGGAGGCGCCACCAGGAAGTCGTGAGGACCTGGTGGAAGCGGCCAGAACTCCATGCACGCCAACAGGTAGGTAAACAATTAATTTCATACACATTGTCTGGCTTCCTTATTCCCGTTAAGCCGCGTCAGAGTTCATCGTTACGTAATTACGTAAAGACAGAAAAATTAACAGTCCCGACTACCGCCGTTTACTACCCCCGTGGCTCAACCCTTAACGTCGAACAGCCTCGTCGACGTCCCCAGGGTTAATTGTCTCTTTTCCTACGGTCAGCTTTAATAATTCATATCGACCGCAAAACATGGCCGCTTACACGATACAACCCTCGAAAACAATTTAACCTTCTCAAACATCGTTCCGGCTACCTGCCCCTCGACAAACTACAAACTCTGTTTGCCGCGCGTAAATAATTAGCGGTTAATTAACATGCATCGATCTGCTCCTCGTTTTAGCCAATTACGCGAACGATCACGAAGAAACGTTGAGGCGATAATTTGTGAACATATTTTTTTTTTTCCTTCATTCCCACAGGACCCCATAACCCTTCTCTACGATCATGCAATTAAGACCGTCGCCTTTCCGCCCTTGCAGCCTCATCGCGTTAGGCACTTTAAGGAACCATCCCTTATCGCACCGCCACTGCAAAGCCGAGTGCGAAAATTTTCCAGCAGATAAGAAAATTTACTACCCTCGTCAATGAACGACCTGTACGAATTTCAAGGGAAAATATTTTTGAAAAAAAAAAAAAATATTTTCGACAACCCCCCTACCAATAATGCACCAATGACCTTCGCCCACTGTACAGCAGGACCGATATTACCCAGATCTTTCATTGCCGTAGAAATATTCATACCCACGCGACATGGGTGGGTGGTGGGTGGGGAGAGTGGAAGAGAATTGGCACGCGCATCAATCACACCTGATTGTGCTCGCGTCATCAAATTCACTCGAGTTCGCGTTCGCGAACAACAACAAAGCTTATCCACCCTTCGCTCGCGCCATTGGAAATCCACCCTTTGCCACCCTCCATTATGTACCACATACCAGTCGGTATATCACAGTCAAGTAAGGCCATCAAAGTTTCCCCCGAAAAGGACAAGGGCAATGGCTTCATATAGTTACGTCACGCGAAGGAGGGCGGGGGGGGTTGGGGAGGATGGGAGGTAATGACTGATTTTTACGTAAACCAACAGTCACGCTATGAACTAATGAACCCTTCGATAAGGAGCTAATACGTACGTTTTCACGATATACAACCTATCACTGTATATACGAGATTTTTATTTCACTGATCGATCATCCCTTATTTCATGGCTCGTTTGACCAGAGTCTTCCTAGATATTGGGATACGTTTAGGGGGTTGCTGTCTTACGTGGCTTGGCTATGGAACCTGATTGGATTTTCATGGGATTAAGATTTTTTTTTTTTTTCTTTTTTTTTCAGGGTACCAGAAAATTCACCTATAGTCAATCGGCCGTTCTAATCGACGTCGTTCGCGATCGTTAGTCAAAGAGGGTCTTTGAATTTTCGCATTATTTTCGAGGGGCGGCACGTTACGAATTATCGCTGTACGATCTTGTCAGTGTTTTGGGGACGTTAAGATCAGATTGCACCGGGTAATGGGAACGTATAGGGATAACCTTTACGAGATGAGGTCATCGGCTAGAGCAATCACTAGGCTCGTGAAGCAACCCCTAGGAAATAGTTTCCAAGGAGTTATGAACCTCGCAGCTTATCCGGCAGAGGGCAATCTTCGCGTTCCTGATACATGTTGGGAATTCGAGGATAACCTGGGTGGGG